CATGCCCTAGAACAAAAGCTAAAAATAAATAAATAAGTTCTAAATATGTGAAACTCCCAAAACATTTTAATACATTCCTTCCAAAATTTATTTTTTCTATGTCTGAGAGAGACAGAGAAAAGACAGACAGAGAACCCAACAAGGTCCTGATGCTTGGTGATTACCCCCAGGGTGAGCCACCTCACGTCCTGGGGACTCACTCCCATGGTGTGTTCAGAGAGTTCTCAAATGTGAGCCTGGAACCTTCCCATGTGAGTCAGACGTACAGAGCACTGTGTTCTACCCCTGCAGCACCATCCAGCCTCTGTTTTTTCTCAGTCATGGGGTTTTTGTGTCAGTCCCCTTCTCATTCTGTTTTATTTGGCTGCCTGGTCAGGAGGTGACTTTGCTTAATTTTAATTGCTTCAGTTTTTTAGAATAAATATGCATTAAATTAATAGTAATACTGCAGTTGCCTTTTCTTAATTCTGTCTTTAATTATTTAAAAATAAGTTTATGGGGCCAGCATGTAGCATGGTGGATAAGGTACTGGACTCCCACATGGCTGACCCTGGTTAGAGTCCCAGACCTGGTAGCTTGTTTTCTCGCTTCCCCTCTCTAGTGAGCACACATGCCCTATAGCAAATTAAATAATATTAAATAAATAATTCTTTTTAAAAATAATAAAGTAAGTTTATTGGGCCAGCAGGTAGCATGGTGGTTAAGGCACTGGACCCCACATGGCTGACTCTGTGGTTGGGGTCCTGGACCTACAGCCTGAAAAGCACTCCAGATGCATGTGCATGCAAAAAAATTCTGAGAAAAGAGTGAGGAAGAAGGGATTGTGGGGACCAGCAGTTAGCATAATGGCTATGTTGCTGGACTCCCACAAAGTCGACTGCGGTTTGCATCCTGGACCTGGTGGCTTAAACTCACGCTGGGCGCATGTGTGCGTGCGTGCCCCAGATCCTGAGAGGATAATGGAGAAGAAAGGATTGTGGCGTGACCATCCCCCCTGGGGGGTGATTTCTCGCTTTCTGTCTCTCTGTCTCTCTCTGTCTGGCTAGCGCATGCGCCCTATAGCAAAAACCTCTCTCAAAAAAAAAAAAAAAAGAAGGGATTGTGACGTGGCCACTCCTCAGGAGGTGATTTTTTTATTCCCTCCCCCACCCAGTGAGTGTACTCATCTTATGGCAAAAATAATAAGGAAAGAAAAGCTTATGAATCCTCTTAATTTGTTCCCAGAGGACTCTGTAGAACAGATCCATGTTGCAGAGGCATGTGGAATAATGGGTGGAAGCTGCAAGGTCAGACCCCTGTGGTGCAAATCCTGGCTCCATCACCTGGGGCAGGTTGCTTGATCTTTTTAAGCTTTTGTTTCTCCTTAGAGTCTTCTTAGTAAGACTGTTGCAGAGGAACCAGGTTAACACATGGAAAGAACAGTCTGGGCTATAATAAGCTTAGCGACTGTTCAATATGAGGTTGCCAGTTTGACTTAGCTTGAAGGACAGGAAAATCTTACCCAGAGAAAGACAGCGTGACACAGCAAACTTCCAGATATGGGGCCGGACAAACTTGTACTTTAACTCTGGCTCCATCGCCTGTTAGTTCGATACTAACTTGGTCCTTAGTCCTGTCATCTCAGCAGCTTGAAGAGATGAAGGACTCTGAAACAGCCATAGGTGTTTCCACCCATTGATCGGGGAATTCACAGCTCTCAGTTTGTCATTTGCTTTTGCACAGCCTCAAGGACAGCCAGCAGTAACCCCAGCCCATGTTATAGTCCCTGAACTCAGCATTTTCATCAGCCACATGGCCTTGCAGCACTCTGCCCTCCACCTGCACTGTGTCCTATGACACCGCGCACGGGAGGTAACTTGAGTGATTGTGATGTCACTGTGTGCCATCCCCTCCCAGGAAGGTTATCAGGGCATCCCTTTTTTGAGGCTCTCTTTCCTGGGGTCATTCTCAGTACCAGTTAATTGCATCAGTCACATGACATACTCAAAAGGAATTGAAGCGAGTCTAACAGAGACTGTTTATTAAGATATAGGCAGGGTTAAGAGAACCAGTGAGAGGACCAGCAGATGGCGTAATGGTTATATCGCTGTACTCCCACATGGCCGACCGCGGTTCGAGTCTCGGACCCAGTGGCTAGAAACTCATGCTGGGTGTGTGTGCATGCCTGCCCAAGATCCTGAGAGGAGAAGGGAAGAGAAGGGATTGTGGTGTGGCCATCCCCCCAGAGGGTGATTTCTCGCTTTCTTTCTCTCTGTCTCTCTGCCAAGCACATACCCTATAGCAAAAATCTCTTAAAAATAAAAAGAGAGAGAGAGAGAACCAGCGATACTTGGTTACTAACAAAGTCAGGAGGCCTTTGCTACTCCTGGGACTTCATCTGAAGTTGTGGGACAGGGGCTCTCTGGTAGAAACTGGCCTTGTAGAGAAACCATGACTGTTAGAGAGGGAGCAGGAGGCATACATACCTTAGCATCTTGCTCCTCTTACCCTCTGATCTACTAGTGCCTTGCATTGGCTGACCCCAACCAAAAGGCAGAGGGCAAAGGCCAGAGGACAGCTGACCCAACATGCCATCCATAGAGGTCAGCCTGTGGCCGGGTAGAGAAAGAGTGGTGACTAAATTGGGAAGGGCACATGAAGACTATCTAGCACAATGCCAAGTTAGACCCTCTAGCCCAGGCTGATTGTGCACCTTGAGTGTAGGCTTCTACATTTACCTACCTGCTGTACCCACCATCTGAGAAGTTGTTATAAACAACCAGAAGTTGTTATAAACAACTTCTCCTGCCCACCAGCTTTTTCTTCCTCCTTTATTCTTTTTATATTTTAAGAGAGACTTTTGCTATAAGATGTGTGCACTCACCACAGAGACAAAAGCAAGAAATCAGCCCCCAAGGAGGATGGCTATGCCACAATCCCATCTCCTCCATTCTCTTCTTTGGATTTTGGGTACACATGCACACACGCCTGTGAGTTTCAAGACACCGGGTCCAGGACTCACACTGCATTCAACCACGTGGGAGTCTAAGGCCTGGACCACTATGCCACCTGATAATCCCTCCTCCTCCTTAATTCTTGATGCTCTTTAATGTGATATTTTACTGTCCCTTCCAAAGGGAAGCACTGGAGGCCTGGTGTTTTCCTGTAATTCTGTTCCTGGGGCCTATAGCATAGTAAGGCAAAGACAGACATTCCAGCTCAATTAACAGTAATTCAATTCATACCCAGGTAGGTGTAAATCCTACCTAGGTGCATTTCTAGCATCAAATCCAACAAGGTAAGTTTTGAATCATCTCAAAGGAAGTACCCTTATAATCAATTAAAACTCATTACAAGGCTGGCCCTGTGGCTGTGTCATTAAGGGAGCTGGATCCTACATGGCTGACCACTGTTCAGATCCCAACCCTAGACACTTGAAAAACATCCCAGGCACATGTGTACATGTGCATGTATGGCCCAAAGGCTGACAGAGTGAAGAGATGGAGGAGGAAGGATAATGGAACTGTGTCATGGCTATGCCCCACTGGAGGGTGCTTTCTCCTTCTTCCCTGCCTCTGGTGAGTGCATGTGCCTTCTGACAACTTGTAAAAAGAAAAGAAAATTCATTACACCTAAACATTCCATGCTTGTTTATATATATTTGAAATCATTACCGGAGTATATTTTATTTATAGAGATCAGATCAGTTAAAGTGCTTTTCTGAAATTAATCATCCAGGGAGATTGTTTTAGTCCATTCTTTGCTAATACCAGGAAATACCTGAAACTGTGTGATTTATAAAAATGGAAATTTATTCAGCTCACAGTTCAGAGGCCCAAGGTCTAGGTGCCCCCTCCGACTGTCTCATAATGTGATGGAGGGCAGGAGCATGTGGCCTGTACTCCACGTGGTCTTTCTCCTTAGGAACCTACCAGCAGTCAGTCACAGGGGTCCCATGCTAATCAGTCACTACCAAGGTCCTGTGTTTTGATGTCACAGAGGTATCAAGAAAAAATTTAGTACCTTCTCAACCAAATTTCAGCACATGAATTTTTATGGAACACGAACCGTAACATAAATTTTCCAGGTGAACTGACCCTTTAAAGGCTATTATTTAGCGTCACTGGAGAGTACAAGCTGTTGTGTATAGCAAAGGTGACGTTTCAAGTTTGTGGTTCATGGGCAGAATGATATTAACACACTGTGTTTGTCTGTGTGAAGATTTACTCTAATATGTCTGGTCAGGGACCCGGCGCATAAGAATCATCCAAAGTGCTGGGACCAGCAGTTGGTGTAATGGCTATGTTGCTGGACTCCCATGTAGTCAACCGCAATTTGAGTCCTGGACCTAGTGTCCCGGACGCCGGGCGTGTGTGCGTGTATGCCCAAGATCTGAGAGGAGAATAGAGGAGAAGGGATTGCAGTGTGGCTATCCCCCCCTGGGGAGTGATTTCTGGCTTTCTGTCTCTCTGTCTCTCTCTCTGTCGAGCACACGCTATAGCAAAAACCTCCCCCCAAAAAAAATCATCTGAAGTGTTAAAATGAAACAGCAAGATAATTAAAGAGTTGCAACTCTGGAGCCCTGAAGCCTGGAGTCAGATCCTAGATGTGCAAATTATTTAATCTCTCATTTATAAAACAAGGATGTATAGTTACCTGCTGTATGAGATTGTAATTGGAATTGTTCAGCAAAGTCCGCCAGTTCATCCTCATGAAAGAAGTCTGAAAAGCCACTTTGAGCCCATCTGGCTAAAGCTCTTTAGAGCGAGGGTTACCCCTTAGTCCACATGCACTGTGGTGTACAAGTTCAGAACTTCCTAGAAGTAAGGAAGGTAGACGGGATGTGGTTCAGTGATGGGAACATAAACAAACTAAGTCTCTAACCTGGGTTGACACTAACGAGCAAAAAGTAACTTTCTGCAAGAATAAGCATAGAATGAGCCCTATAGACAAAGAGTAACAATCAGAGTATTTTAAAATTGTTTTGCTAATCAGTTATTTTTTTCCCCCTGTTGGTTAAGGTTGCATGATGGAATTTGAACATTACCACCAGAAGTTTTACATTTTGGATTAGTTAATTGGGTTTGTCCTCTGCTGACTGCTTGTTCGGGCTCGTTTTTTGGTGTCCTTTTGAGGCATTAAACCCAGAACTTAAATCATGGACTACAAGGAAAACTGTCCAAGTGTAAGCATTCCCAGCTCTGATGAACACAGAGAGAAAAAGAAGAGGTTTACTGTAAGTATGTAAAAATAAGCATATGGGAAAAACTTGATTATAAACAGTATTTCTATTTCTGCGTTTGTTCTTTCCTCACTCAGAATGTTCCCCCCTGCCTAATTCAGATTTTACTTCTCTTGAAGTTTTACCTGGCTACTGTAATAGAATACATGTTTTTTTTCCAGTGCAGATTTTTGCCTATTTACCTATCCCTTTGAGAATCTCATGAAACTGATAGGTCCTCATACCAGAAAATGTGCATGTACATACATGAGGCCTATGAACCCACAACTTTATGTACACCATCCGAGGTTAATGGGCTCCTAATGTCATTGATCCCATGTTAAGAACCACTGTCTTAGGGCCAGCCAAGTCATGTGGTGGTTAAGGCAGCTGGATTCTACCTGGCTGACTGAACAGTTCAAGTCCCAAACCTGGCAGTTTGAAAAATGTACTTGAGGGAACCAGCAGTTAGTGTAATGGCTATGTCTCTGGACTCCCACGTAGTCGACCGCGGTTCACGTCCCGGACCCAGTGGCTTAAAACTCACGCCGGGCGCGTGTGCGTGCGTGCCCAAGAGGATAATGGAGGAGAAGGGATTGTGGCGTGACCATCCCCCCTGGGGGGTGATTTCTCGGCAGATTGAAAAATGTACTTGAGGGAACCAGCAGTTAGTGTAATGGCTATGTCTCTGGACTCCCACGTAGTCGACCGCGGTTCACGTCCCGGACCCAGTGGCTTAAAACTCACGCCGGGCGCGTGTGCGTGCGTGCCCAAGAGGATAATGGAGGAGAAGGGATTGTGGCGTGACCATCCCCCCTGGGGGGTGATTTCTCGCTTTCTGTCTCTATGTCTCTCTCTCTCTCTGTCTGGTGAGCGCACACGCCCTGTAGTGAAAACCTCTCAAAAAAAAAAATGCACTCGATGTGCATGCACATACATGTGTGTGGCCAAAATCCCAAGAGGAGGATGGAGAAGAAGGGATTGTGCATGACCATCCCCTCTGGGGGATGATTTCTCACTTTCTCTCTCCCCCTCAGTCTCTCTTTGGCAAACACACATGCTGTAAAGCAAATTTTTAAAAAAATGAGAAGAGTAAACCCAATGAATGTTTGGTGAATCAGTGAATTAATGACTATTGTCGGAAACTATTATAGTTATTTATTTCCCCTACATCAGTCAGGTACTGTGCTGACACTGTAACAAGGTTCAAGGGAGGCATATCCCTTGAACACCCAGTTATCACACTTACAAATCACAAAAACAGCGTACTGAAATGTACAATATTTTATTTATTGATAGTTCTAGTAGTCTGGTAGTATATATAGAGATCACCTACAATATTCCTGTGAAAAAATGTCATTTATCTTGTAAATAGTCTTATCTTCCCTGTAATACCCACTCACCAAGTAGTATGGAGAAATTCATGTAACCCAGTTTTGTTTGACACTTAATTCAATCTGACAGTTTAAACAGTTCTTCTAGGCTGAAGTGTGCAGGCTGTCTTAATTCTGTTTCTTCTCTGATTTGAACATGCACTCCTCCCCTAAGTTGGCCCCATGGTTCATGGGAAGAGAGTGTCTCCTGACACAGTGTTTCACACTGACCTCCTGGTTGCCTCGTGAAGGCTCTTGCAGTCTCGTCAGCCTTCTGGATCTTTGCTGTAGAGAGGCTGGTCTGGCAGGCATCCAGCTTTGGTTGACCTGATCCAACCTTGGGCATTTTGCTGGCACCTACAGTTGATGAACTAACTTGTGATCTCTTTCTTGGCCTGCCCAGGATCTTGTGGTGGCTCTCTTCTGACTCAGGGCCTGGACTCAGTAGCTGTAGAACCCCTTAGACTCTGACATGTCCTTCATTGCTCCTGGCTCAGTGCTCCAGCTCTAGCTTCTAATAACGGGGTACCTCATTCCTGTCATTTTAACCTCTTGACAAACAAATCTCACCATATCACATGGGAGTTGAGGAAAGCTGAGGAGTTAAATTAAACCCTTTGTCTAATCATTCCTTTCTGCCTTTTTGAACTATGTGGTATTGAGTGGCCCCAAATGGTGGCTGTCTCCCAGCTCCCAGAGAGGGATCAGGGAAACAGCCCCTCTGTCTTCTGTAGTAAGCTTGATTTTTCTCTTCTAACAGTGAGCAATGTATTATGAACCATAGAACAACTCATATCTCCTTTTTCTAGATCATCGCTGTAAAATATTAAGATTGAGAACTCAAGTCCTACATCTGCCAGACTTTTCTCATATACCTGGATTCTTGTCGTTTTTCCTTTAGAGATGATACAAGTTGGGACCAGCAGATGGCATAACGGTTATATTGCTAGACTCCCATGTAGTCAACCACAGTTCAAATCCCAGAGTCCGTGGCTTGAAATTCACACCAGGCGCATGTGCATGTGTGTGTGTGTGTGTGTGCCCAAAAATCCTGAGAGGAAAATGGAGGACAAGGATTGCGGCGTGGCCGTACCTCCCTAGGGGGTGATATTTTGCTGTCTCTCTTGCAAGCACACATGCCCTATAGTAAAAAACCTATCTTGAGAAGAAAGAAAGAAAGAAAGAAAGAAAGAAAGAAAGAAAGAAAGGAGGGAGGGAGGAAGAAAAGAGAAAAGAAAAGAAAAGAAAAGAAAAGAAAAGAAAAGAAAAGAAAAGAAAAGAAAAGAAAAATGATATGAGATCTTGGGGGTCCAGATTGTTTTCTCAACATCGGTGTATTGAATTGTATTCTGAGAGTGTTTAGGGGGTAAATTATGACAGTTACTTCTATATTATAATTGGTTCTGGTGTCTGGTGGATAGTTAGATTTAGATTTTAGTTTTATGTTTTTTATTAAGTCTGTGAACTTGCCCTAGTTCCTTAACTTTTGGGGCTGTCATTTCCTCACGTGTGGTGAGGGCTCTATATTCTGTTTATTTCACAGGGTTGTTGATTATAATTATATGAGAAGTCTTCCAAAAGTTCATGGAAAATGCGTATGATGAAAAACCTGCATGGATCTTAATTTCTTTGCACTAAAACTTGTACTTTAATTCCATTCTTCTGTGAACTTTTTGAAGTCCCCTCATATGAGATTACATATGAAAATATTAAACACAAATAAGATGGCATTAGAAAATCTTTAGGATAAATTTCTTAGTTTGAAAAATATTTTGTAAAGGACAACCTGGAAAAAAGAGAACTAATAATTGAGTGTTTACTATATGCCAGGCATCCCTTTTAAAAATGCTTTATAATTTCAAGATGGTAGTTACTACTGAGGAAGAAAGGAGGTAAATGGCATCAATTGAATCTATTTTTATTCTTGGGGGAAGAAAGTCTGAAGTGAGAATGGCAAAATGTTAGAATTCAGCTGTTGAGTTCATAGGTGTTCACTGTGTTGTTTTTAAATTATAGAAATATTTCTATAACATTTTAAAAATAAAATACAAACTTTGACAAGATAAAATAAGTGTTTCAGTTGATATGTTTGTGTATCTTGGAGAATCACATATCAGTATTAATTTTCATCAGTGTGAAAAAAGATTTCCTGTATTTAAACAACTAATGAATTTTTTGCCATTAAATTTTGTCAAATTATGTTACTTTTTATTTGCACAGGTTTATAAAGTTCTGGTCTCAGTGGGCAGGAGTGAGTGGTTTGTATTCAGAAGATATGCAGAGTTTGATAAACTTTACAACACTGTAAGTAATAGTCTATAAGATTTCTTTTTAAAATAAAACATTTAAGAAACTACCAAAATATGAAATTCTTACAAATAGGTTTGGAGAGATTTTTGAGCAGTTCCAAATAACCATTGGAGGGACCAGGAGTTAGCGTAATGGCTATGTCGCTAAACTCCCATGTAGTCGATCGTGGTTCGAGTCCCGGACCCAGTGGCTTAAACTCACACTGGGCACATGTGAGTGCATGCTCAAGATCCTGAGAGGAACATGGAGGAGAAGGGATTGCGACGTGGCCATCCCCCCTGCGGGGTGATTTCTTACTTTCTATCTCTGTGTCTCTCTCTGTCTTTCTGGCAAACACATGTGCCCTGTAGGAAAAAACCTCTCTCAAAAAATAAAAAATTAAAAAAATAACCATTGAAAATATGAGAACTAGATGTTCTACTTGAAATACTTTTTAATGTCATAGGATATTAGGAATAAATTCTTTCTACCTACTTCTCTAATAATTGTTAGTCATCATGGTATTTTTGGTTAAATTTCCCAACTGTAAGCTTTAGATCTGAAACTGTGTCACAAGGCTACTTTTCTTTCATATAGTCATTCTTAAAGGTAAGTTTAGAGTTGTAGATATTTTTTTGGACAGGGTTTTTTTTCTTTTTTCTTTTTTTACTCTAGTCCACATGTGCTCACCAGAAAGACAGAGAGAGACAGAGAGACAGAAAGCAAGAAATCACCCCCCAGGGGAGATGGCCACGCTGCAATCCCTTCTCCTCCATTCTCCTCTCAGCTGCAATCCCTTCTCCATTCTTTTCTTAATCTTGGGCATATACGCACACGCGCCTGGCGGGAGTTTAAGCCACTGGGTCTGGGTCTCGAACCAAAGTCAACTACATGGGAGTTCAGTGACATAGCCATTATGCCAACTGTTGGTCCCTAGATATATATATATATTTTTTTTTACACATTTATTTATGAGTGAGAGAGAGAGACTAAACAGAGTTTTCATGTTATAGTCTACCCCCAGCCTCGGCCATTCCCAATCATGGCCATTCATTTGTGTCTGACATGTATAGGAAGATCTCAGGATATGAACCTGGGTCCTTCCCATGGGGTTCCAGCATTGCAGAGCACTATACCATCACTGTACCACTAACTTAGCCCCAGGTCTAGACTGTAAGTAGCTAACACAACTGAAATGAGTATTGACTTCCAGAAGTTCTCACATCTTCCTAAGGGGCGAGAGCTAAGAAACCATTAGCTATTCGAATAACCAGAACTTATTTTTATCTGGTCATAATTTAGATATTAAAAATAGTAACTGTGTTGCATTGAACCTACTTCTAAAGCAGGCAGTGAGAGCACTGCCTGGCAAATCTTAAGTGGGTATTGATGCTCTTAGAGAATGTTGCCTTGATGGTCAGACACTGAGACAATCTCCTGGTGTTATTGTTTAATCAATGGTAGATTACTAGGCATCCTCTGGGAAAATTCTGTGCTACATTTATAAAGGTCAGTTTTTTATTTCTTAATCTTTTTTTTAATTTTAAAAATGGGGATAGATAGTGTGTTGGTGGGTTTACATTTGTAAGATAATTTTTTTTTTTAATATGAAGGAGGAACCTACCCCTGTGGTATAGTGGTTAAGGCAATTGGATCCCACACAACCAACCACATGGTTCCAATCCTGCCCTGGAGGCTTGAAAAAACAGACTGGGCATGTGTGCATTCTAGCCCCAAATCCTAGAGGGCAGAGAAATGGAGGAGGTGTGACCACAGTCAATTGGGCGGGGTATTTTCTCCCTCTCCTTGTCTTTCTGTCATTCTAGTGAGCTCACATAAACAAATAAATAAAATATGAAACAAGCTAAGCATATCTCAATTAAGTGACAAATTACTGGGCCAGCCAGTCACCTGGGGGTTTAGGTAGCTGGATCCCACATGGCTGACTGTGCAGCTCAAGTCCCAGACCCTATGGCTCAGAAACACACTGACTTATACATGTGTGCCCAAAATCCTAAGAGGAGAAAGGATTATAGCATGGCTATCTCCGCACGGGTGGTTTCCTTAGTTATTTCTCTTTGTCTCTAGTGAGTACACACACCCTATAGCAACTTAAAAGAAAGAAAGAAAGAAAGAAAGAAAGAAAGAAAGAAAGAAAGAAAGAAAGAAAGAAAGAAAGAAAGAAAGAAACAGTGTTTACTGCACAACTTCCTCTGTTTTATAAGTTGTGAAAATTATACTTCTAATTCATCTTTATTTGGTATTTTACTGTATCTTTTTTCCTTTTTTGTGTGTTATAGGGCATGTTTGCTTGCTGGATAGAAACAGAGACAGAGGGAAAGTAAGAAATCACCCCTCTCAAGGAGAATGGCCATACCAAAATCCCTTCTCCTCCATTCTCCTCTAAGGATTTTGGGCACACAGGTACATGCACCTGGTGTGATTTTCGAGTCTCTGAGTCCATGACTCAAACCACATAGCCATGTAGAAGTGCAGTGTGTTAATCACCATGCCACCTACTTGCCCCAGTATTTCACTATATCTTTATTTGTCACAAGTAATATTTAAATTACTTGCTATTTAAAAAATAATGTTGGAGACTGGAGGAGAAGGGATTGTGGTGTGACCATCCCCCCAGGGTGTGATTTCTCACTTTCTCTCTCTCTCCTTGCTTCTGCCACTCTGGTAAGCATACACACCCTGTAGCAAAAAGTAAAAAATACATAAAATAATATTGGAATTTTTAAATTACATTTATTTTTCTTATGTAAAATTAATGCATAGTCCAGACAGTCTGGATAGTAGAGGAAAGTATAGTCACCCCTCTGTATCCACAGGTTTAATATCCTGTGATGGAAAATGTTATGTTATTGCTGACACGCTGTGGTGTGTATACATACTGAACGTGTACAGACTTTTTCTTCTTGTCATTCATTATTCGTTATACTGTAATAATACAGTCTAACAGCTAATTTACATAGCATTTACATTACAATCACCCGAGACACTGAGAGATGACTGTACTACTACTGGAGCGTTGGAAAAGTCCTGATGTAATTTTCCATGTTTTTGTATGTAAAAATGTGTTATGACTTTTCTGACAGCCTAATAGATTAAACTTAAATGTTGCTACTTAGAGTTAATAGTTAATGTCTTACTATGTTTTCTTCTGTTTTTAATTTTTCTTTAATGCATATACAAATAAAATTAACTATATACAATTTTTAAATATTATTTAATCAAAAGATATTGAGGTAGTCTTTTTTGATTGTAAGTCACACTTTAAAACAAAATAATGAGGAACCAGCAGTTAGTGTAATGGCTATGTCGCTGGACTCCCATGTAGTCGACCGCGGTTCGCGTTCCTGACCTGGTGGCTTAAAACTCACGCCGGGCGTGTGTGCGTGTGTGCCCAAGATCCCAAGAGGAGAATGGAGGAGAAGGGATTGCAGCGTGACCATCCCCTCTGGGGGGTGATTTCTTGCTTTCTGTCTCTCTGTCTCTCTCTGTCTGTCTGGCAAGCGCACGTGCCCTATAGCAAAAACCTCTCAAAAACAAAACAAAATAAAACAAAAAAATAATGGCCAATAAAGTGTTTTTATATGGGAATATCTTCCATAATTTTTAAGTGACTTTTTTTAAAATGGCTTATATTGGAAGTGGGTGTTAGCTCTGTTTGAAACTCTTGGATACCCATGACCTACATTTTAGTTTTTTGCCATAGAGCACTTGTTCTTGCCAAAGAGACAGAAAAAGGTAGAGTGAGAAATCACCCCACAAGGGGATGGACACTCCGCAATCTCTTGTCCTCCATTCTCCTGTCAGGATTTTGGGCATGCATGCACAGGCACCCAGCATGAGTTTCAAGGTCCAGGACTCAAACCATGGTTGGCCATGTGGGAGTCCAGCGCTTAACCACCACATTACCTGCTGGCCCTGACCATTATTTTTTTTTAATTTATTTTTTTGCGGAGGATTATATGTTCTAACTGAACCAATCAAGCTACTCAAGTTATGCTCAGATAAAACTGATGAAACAATAGTATTGCCAAACACACACACATACACACACAGTTTATAGGAGCTTCTTAGAGAGACAAGATCAGATTTTGTTTAAAGAATTACTAATAACGAAATTTGAGATTTTTTTCTGTATTTTGCATAAAAGATTTTATAGCCTGGATGTGTCTTCTCAACATGTTGTCTTTTGTGGAAGTGGAACTGTTCATAAGAGGGAGAGGAGTAGGAACTGTCTTCTAGAAACTGCGCCAGTGGTGTGTCTTTATAATGATGTTTTCATTATTTAAACAGCTAGTGATTAATTATATAGGTTGTTAATGTCTGAGTATTTTAAGCATACAGGTAAATTAGGAAAGCTTGTTTTGGACATTTTCCCCCAGGATCATGTTCATTCTCTGTTCCATGAAACGCCCCGGCTTTAAACATTGTGCAAGAAAATTTTCTTAACGTATAGTTTGGTCTTCATCATTCATTCTCATTTTTCTTGTGTTTATCTTCCTTTTATCATTTTTTTCTTACTTCATTATTTTCTGTCTTACCTTTCTCTTTTTACGTAATTCCTAATTCTGCCTCCTGTTGTGAGGGGGTTAAAAACAAAATAACAGGAACATGTTATCAGTTGGGTTATTTGAAACTACAGAAATCAGGTTAAATCTGGCCCGGATTTTCCTAAGATCAAAAACACACGTCCGTTCTCTGTGCTTCTTTTAGAATAAAATGAAAGACAGTGAAATTTCAAACTACATGCATTTTGATTGTCAGCTTAAATGTATTTTTTATGACTATCGTTTTTATATCTATTTTTCCAAGTCGTATTTGTTTTATTTATGAGAGAGTATGCCCGGGCAAGATAGAAAAGTACACCCACCCCGGGTGTGGTTATGCTTCAGTCCCTTTCAGCAGCCTTCCAGGTTGCCAAGATTTGGGGCATGTACAACACCTGGTGTGTTTTCAGGCCAGCCCAGGGATCCAAACCCCATAGTAAGCTGTGCACCTTCTAGCACTGCTGTTCAGTACACTACCACCTGCACCTAAGAGTTTATATTTTAAAACTACTTTTTGTCGAAGTTACAGACACGTATAGAGAGAGGAAGACTAGTATCCATACAGAAAATAATAGGTTACCCTCTAGCTTCAGCAATTACTGATCTGTCGTCATTCTTGTTTCATCTTTATCTCTAGCTAGCTCCCTGTGATTTTGACACAGATCTGAGACAACAATCATACCATTTCATCTGTAAATATTTTCATATGTACCTTGAAAAGATAAAGATTCTTGAAAGCAACATACACACACACAAATTCTTATCACATCTCAAACTAAAGAAACAGTAATGTTTTAATATTAAATATCCAGTTAGTGTTTATGTGAGTGCTTGGTAAGTGTGTTAAATGTCTTTTAATCACTAGGTTTATTTTCTGCCTTTCTTCTTTCCTTTACACTTTATTTTTTAAAACAGGGTCATTTGTTTACAGCCTTTTCAGTCTGAGGTTGGCTGAGAGCATGCCACGGTATAGAGTGATTCTTCTGTTCTCTGTACTGTCTGTCAGTGGGTAGTTAAGAGCTATCGTTTCTATACGTGCATGCAGATTTTTGGCATTAAGCTTGTAATACAAATATAACCTATTTTTATAACTTCACTGCCTCAAATTTAATTTCTTCAGGGTCAAGCTTCTCTGAAGACAATCAGATTTAATAAACAAATGTATTAGAATATGAATGAGGGGAAGGCTAAAGCATAGGGCATTAAAAGCAGAATTAATTAGCTTTGTTAGAAAACTATTGTCAGTTTTTCATACAGAGAGGTAACGATGGGCAGCATGTATTCAGAATTTATAAATAGGCCAGATTTTAGTCAAAGCACGTACAAGATCTCCTTTAAGCCTCACCACAGTGGACATGTTGGTGACTCAGTCATTAAACAAGAGCTCAGGGAGCTAGACCCACTTGGGAAGTCACCGAATTTAAGACCGAAGACCTCCCTGAGTGTGCCAGGCACGTGTGTTCCCATGATCCTTACTGGTTGAGGCCCGGGAGTGGATCATAGTCTCAAGACATTGTTAGAGGGTGCTTTATCTCCGCCTTTTCTCATAGAATAAATAAACTTTAAAAAGGGATTTACAGCAGATCTGTGAAGTAATTGCTAAAATTATCTCCATTCTATAGTCAAGAAAAGGGAGGCACATAGATGTTAAGTAAACTTTTCCAAGACCACACAGATACTAAATGTCTTATTGAGACAAAATAGGATGATTCATCAATCTGTGGTATTTTGCTGGTATTATTTAATCATGTGATCATATATTTAAAAGTAATGTTTTGTGATGAATTTTCTTTAAAATTCAATTGTATTTGGTTGTGGTGCATTCATAACTAGAAGGCTTGTAAAATTAATTCATAAAATGTTATTTTTTAAAAAATTCTAGTTAAAGAAACAGTTTCCTGCTATGACCCTGAAGATTCCTGCTAAGAGAATATTTGGTGATAATTTTGATCCAGGTAAGCAGTAACTTCATAGATTAGCCATTCAGTGAAGTCAAAGTTTGAAGAAGTAATTAGTTAACATACTCATTGTGCTGTATAATAGTGCAGAACTTCAAAAACCTAATAGAGGGACCAGCAGGTGACATGGTGGTTAAGGGCGCTGGACTTTAACATGGCTGACTATGGTTTGAGTCCTGGACCTGGTAGCATCCTTTCTCACTGTCCTCCTCTCTCTCTGTGTCTTTCTCTGGTCAAATTAAAAATAAAAATAAATAATTAATAAAGTTAAATAAAATTCTTACCACAATCTAATTGAGCTCATGCTTTGTGAAAACAATGTTTCAGGAAAGTGTTTACTGGGTATCAGGCCTAATGTTAAACATTTTATGTATTTTAATTCATCGATTCCTTACAATAACCTTGTGAAGTAGATATTATAATTATCACTATTTTTTTATTGATTTATCTATATTATCAAAATCTATAAAATACTTTTATTTTATAGAAGATAAGGAAACTGAGCCACTGTTAGGTTCATAAATTTACCAAGTATCACATACACATAGTAAATACAGATTTGGAAATTAAGTTAAATTTATCAATCATTAAGGATAATTTAGGTTACTTTTCTAACTTTAAGTCAACACCAGGAGGGTGTTCATTCTTACATTCAGAAACATGCATTAAGCGTGCACTCTGTACATAGCAAACTGCAGACCTCTGAAAGGGGCACCAAAAAGATTTCCTGTTGTTCATTATTGGGGAGCTGACTGACACACAGGGCTTCAGGAATCTGGAGCCTGTATGTTTGAAGCCTTACGGCTGGAACATATTCCTAAAATATAAGAGCCCAATCCAGGTCACAGATGGCTACTTAGAGGGAGACAGAAGTCTTCTTATCTACCAGGAATTTTTTTCTTTTTTGGAGAGATTTTTGCTATAGGGCACATGCACTCGCCGGAAAGACAGAGAGAGACAGAGAGACAGAAAATGAAAAATCACCCCCCAGGGAGGATGGCCATGCCGCAATCCCTTCTCCTCCATTCTCCTCTTGGGTTCTTGGGCATGCACGCACACTTGCCCAGCATGAATTTAAGCCACCGGGTCCAAGACTCGAACCTCAGTCGACTACATGGGATTCCAGCGACATAGCCATTACACCAACTGCTGGTCCCTCTACCAGGAATTCTGTCAGAAGAGTCACTATATACCTGTGCTACAGATGAATCCTGAATGTATTATCCTCCCTACCCAAATAATTTGGTTGTAACCCATTCAATCTGTAAAAGTTTACATGTCTGCTCTTTGGTCACTACACACAATTAAAACTCTCAAACTATTCATCTCAAACTATTCTTCTCTCCAACCTAACTGTACATGATTCCTTTCCATCCCAGGCCTATTCACTGTGTCCTGTGGAATTCTGTCACGATTAACCAACTACTTTTATCCTGCATCTTTTTTCATATTTCCTTTACAGTTCTGCTTTAATTAAAACTTTATTTTTCCTCCTGAGACTGCTTGTTTATTCCCTATAGCTGTCTAGACTAGAGGATCTTTTCCTTTCTCCTGCTCTTTCTCCTCCTCCTCGTCCCCCTCCCTCCTTCCCCCTCTTTCCTTCTTCTTCCTTCTTCCTCCTTGTTCTCCTTCCTTGTCCTCCTCCTCCTTGTTTTCTTTCCTTCTCCTCCTCCTTCTCCTCACCCTCCTGGGCCTCTTTCTTCTCCTTTCCTCTTCCTTCTCCTTCTCCCCCTCCTTCTCTTCCTCCCTCTGCCCCTTTTTAGGGAGGGCATATACTCTCCAGGGAGAGACAGAGAGGGGAGAGGGAGAAACTGTACCCCTTCTGAGCAGGCATGGCCACCCACAGTGCCCTCTCTATTTCTCCATCCTGTCAGTATTTTAAGCATATGAACACATATATGTCCAGCTTGTTTTTCCAGCCAGTAGGACCAGGGTTCAAACCACACAGTCAACCTTGTGGGGTTCATCTCCCTCAGTCTATAGGGCACATGCACTCGCCGGAAAGACAGAGAGAGACAGAGAGACAGAAAATGAAAAATCACCCCCCAGGGAGGATGGCCATGCCGCAATCCCTTCTCCTCCATTCTCCTCTTGGGTTCTTGGGCATGCACGCACACTTGCCCAGCATGAATTTAAGCCACCGGGTCCAAGACTCGAACCTCAGTCGACTACATGGGATTCCAGCGACATAGCCATTACACCAACTGCTGGTCCCTCTACCAGGAATTCTGTCAGAAGAGTCACTATATACCTGTGCTACAGATGAATCCTGAATGTATTATCCTCCCTACCCAAATAATTTGGTTGTAACCCATTCAATCTGTAAAAGTTTACATGTCTGCTCTTTGGTCACTACACACAATTAAAACTCTCAAACTATTCATCTCAAACTATTCTTCTCTCCAACCTAACTGTACATGATTCCTTTCCATCCCAGGCCTATTCACTGTGTCCTGTGGAATTCTGTCACGATTAACCAACTACTTTTATCCTGCATCTTTTTTCATATTTCCTTTACAGTTCTGCTTTAATTAAAACTTTATTTTTCCTCCTGAGACTGCTTGTTTATTCCCTATAGCTGTCTAGACTAGAGGATCTTTTCCTTTCTCCTGCTCTTTCTCCTCCTCCTCGTCCCCCTCCCTCCTTCCCCCTCTTTCCTTCTTCTTCCTTCTTCCTCCTTGTTCTCCTTCCTTGTCCTCCTCCTCCTTGTTTTCTTTCCTTCTCCTCCTCCTTCTCCTCACCCTCCTGGGCCTCTTTCTTCTCCTTTCCTCTTCCTTCTCCTTCTCCCCCTCCTTCTCTTCCTCCCTCTGCCCCTTTTTAGGGAGGGCATATACTCTCCAGGGAGAGACAGAGAGGGGAGAGGGAGAAACTGTACCCCTTCTGAGCAGGCATGGCCACCCACAGTGCCCTCTCTATTTCTCCATCCTGTCAGTATTTTAAGCATATGAACACATATATGTCCAGCTTGTTTTTCCAGCCAGTAGGACCAGGGTTCAAACCACACAGTCAACCTTGTGGGGTTCATCTCCCTCAGTCTCTAGGCCATAGGACAGGCCTGAGGGTCTTTACTCTGTATACTTGATAAGTCTTAGGGTTGGAGAATGTTCTCACTTTCCCTGTTATATATAGAATTGTTTTTCCTTGGGAGTGTATCATATACTTCATTTTAATTGCTAATCTGTCTTGTAGTAAGCTGGAGATTTTAGAAAGGTATGGATGAGGTCTTTTGTTTTTTATTATTGATTTATAGTACCTGGAAAATACTAGGTTTTAAAAGTAATTGCAAATACATGAAACCATGGAAAAAAGAAGGAAGGAACAATTGAGTTGTACTGGGATCTGACTCTTGTTGCACAGTGCTTAACCACCGGGCTACAGTGCTGGCCTCAGTGCATATGCAAACACCACATATGCTTGACTGTCTGGTGACAGGAAAAATGTCCTTGGAAGATACCCACATAAAATTCTACAGGCAGTTCATAGTTGAACAACAACAAGAAAAAGGTACCAACTGCATCTCAATCCAAGAGATCAGACCCAATTTTATAAATGTTATTTAATAGCCATACCTTAAATTTTAAAAAATGGAAATAAGTGCCAACAGATGGCATGGTGGTGAAGGGGCTGGATTCCTAGCCAACTGCAGTTTAAGTCCCAGACGTGGTGGCTTGAAAAATCATGCCAGGCGTGTGTGCATGTGTGCCCCAACTCCCAAGAGGAGAATGGAGAAGAAAGGAATGCAGCATGGCTGTCCTCCCTGGAATTTCTCACTTTCTCCTTTTTCCCTGTCAAGTGCACATGCCCTGTTGCAAAAACTAAAAAATAAATAAGTAAAATGGAAATAAAGCTACATGATTGGAAATAACCCATCATTTTTGTAACAAACATGAACTTTAAAAAATAAGCACAATAAAATAATTAAAATGTTTATTGAGGAGAAATCAATTTATTAAATAAAAATTCATTATTCTGTTTGTTTCATTTTTTATTTGTTTGGATTTTGTCTTTGTTTGTTTGTCTATTTTTGCTATAGAGTACATGCACTTGCTGGGGAGAGATAGGGTCTGGAAGTGAAAAAATCAAGAGGGATGACCATGTTGCAACCTCTTTTCCTCTATTCACATACACATGCGCCCAGTGTGTTTTTTAAGTTGCCAGGTCCGAGACTGAACCATTCAGTCAGCCATGTGGGGTCCACTCACTATGCTAACAGCTAGAAAATTCATTATTAAATAGAATATTGTTTATAGATTTTTACCAAGATGTTCACCATTAGGAGACATTTTCTCAAATCACATGGATTGTATTTTCAGCTTTCAGATGTATTTCTTAGGAATTAGGGTTTAAAATAATGGCTTTTTGAATCGTGAACAACAAAAATAATAGCTGATGATTGTACTTTTACCATTTGCTAGATATTCTCCTATAAACCCATATGTATTATCTCGTTTAATCCTTTAATGGTATTATGATGTATTAATATTATTACCCCCATTTTACAAGTAAGGATTTAAGTCTTTGAAAGATTTAAGGTCAATTAGCTAGTAAGTAGCGAGACAAAATATTTGAATATTTCTTTTTAATTCCAAGAATTATTTGTAATGTTTATTGCTAAACTTCTGTTACATGAGCCTAAACTATCAACAAAAACACTTTGAAGATGGTGGAAAATTATTTATTAGGAAAATGTGCCCATATGTTGTTCAAAGTGTTTTGTTGTTTTACTTGCTAGAGCAGCAGTCCCAAACCTTCCCAGCACCAGAGACTGGTTTTGTGGAAGACAGTCTATCCATAGACGATGGGGGGAAATTGGTCCCAGGATGACCCAAATACACCACCACCACATTGCAATATGCAGTGAAACAATCACACAAGTTTTAGCTCCCATGAGAATTCAACACTACCTTAGATCTGACAGGTGGCAGAGCCCCTTAGCTGGCCATGTGGAATCCAGCTGCCTCAACCACCACGCCATTGGCTGGTCTCTAGGGAGTTTTCCTTTTTCCTTTTCTTTCTTCCTTCCTTTCTTTTTTCTTTCTTTTTTTTTTTTTTTTTTTTTTTTTTTTAGGGTTTTTCCTTTTTGCTTTTATGACCTTCCTATAGGTTATGTGCACTTGCCAGAAAGACAGAGAGAAAGAGAGAGACAGAAAGAGAGAAATCACCCCTGGAGAGATGGCCACACCACAATCCTTCTCCTCCATTCTCCTCCTGGAATCTTGGGCACACACACATATGCACCTGGCATGAGTTTAAGCCACCAGGTCCGGGACTTGAACCGTGGTCAACTACATGGGAGTCCAGCGACATAGCCATTACACTAACTGCTGGTCCTTCCAGGGAGTTTTTCACAGCAGGAGTTAAACCAGATTTTTAGTGATACCTAGCTAACCAATGAATCATCATTCTCTGGTTACAAAGGATTTCCAGTAGTCCTTACTTATCGTTTTATTTATTTTATTTTTTTTTTTAAATAAGTTCTGATTTTTGGTCATCAGTGTCATCATGTTTATTTTTACTCATTTCCTGATAGTACCTGATCAGCTGAGCAGAGCAAAGGGCCTCTCCAACTTTTGTAGACCTTGTTTAGAATCTAAAATGAACAGATTTTCAGAATTTTCTTGTGTGAGATAGACTGTTATCTGCACTCTTAATATTTTAATTTTGTAATCCTTGTGTGGATATATACACATGTGTGTGTGTGTGTGTATGTCAATTTCTAAGTATTTATTCTTCATTATGTACCAAGTTGCATGGATTAATAAATAGCTTTTTCATTCGTATTTAGTATCTTGTGCTTATTTGTTCTTATATAACTATATTGATAATTACATAGTCTGACATAAATAATCCTAATAATTTTATATCTCTCTTACAGATTTTATTAAACAAAGAAGAGCAGGACTGAATGAATTCATCCAAAACTTAGTTAGGTATCCAGAGCTTTACAACCAGTAAGTAATTTTCATTGTGCTCTAAAGAGGAACTGAAACCAAACCTAGGAATGTGAAATAAGCCTCGTATCAGTTTTCACCCATCTGGGAGCTGTGGTTGGGCTACATATGTTTGCAAGTCTTCCTTGAACATTTCCCCTGATGGTCTTGATTCCGTTTTCCCTTCATTAGCTCATCTTATTGCTTTCTTCCTTTTGTACTTGGCATCAGTTTTGTAGATTAAACTTGAAATAAATTTGCATAATGTCGTCAAAATGCTTGGATAATTATTTGATATATTTATCCATGCCTTCAAAACATATTTAAGTACCTGCTGTGTACATTGGGAGTATAAAGCTGAATGAATGTCCTTAGACTTCCAGAGAAGAGAGCTCCCAGGCTAGTGGGTAAGAAACATATAAACCAATAGTTGAAACTAAGTAATTTTTAAGATAGAGATGCTGGAAGACAACAGAAAAATACGGCCTGCTCTCCTTGGAGAGGTCAAGAAAAGCTTCCTGAGACTTTATGCATGTGTAATCATTTCAAGCAAAAAAGTTGGGACCCTGACTGCAGCATGGTGGTTAAACACTGTACGTCAGAAGCTGAATCTCACATAGCCAAATGCGTTTTAAATTCTGACCCCAGGGGCTCGCAAAACACACTGAGCACATGTGTGTGTTCTCAAAATCCTAATGAGATGGGGAAATGGAGGAAAAGGATTATAGCATGACCATGCCCCACTTGTTTTTGTTTTTCTTTCTCTTTATCTTCCTCCCTCTCTCTCAAGTGAGTGTACGTGCCCCTCTGACAATTGAAAAAAAAAAATGAAGAAGTGATTAAAAACTGTAAGAGAGAGAGAGAACATTTAAGAGAAGGGGGCCAACTAGGTGGTATGGTGGTTAAGGCAGCTGGATCCCACATAGCCAAGTGCATGGTTTAAGTCCTGAACTGGAGGCTTAGAAAATACGATGGGTCTTGTGTGTGCTCACCCAGAATCCCAAGAGGAAAATGGAAGAGAAAGATTGTGGCAAACTCATCCCCCCAGTGGGTGATTTCTCACTTTCCCTCTCTTTCTGTCTTTCTTCGGTGAGCACACATGCCCTATAACAACATCAAGTAAGAGCATTCCTGGTAAAGGCAGTGTACATGTAACAGGATACAAAAAGATGGAAATATTAGGACACTTAAGTATTCATATTTCATGGTAACTGGAACAGAAAAGGTTTTCAGAAAGGAGGCTGAGGAATTGGCAGGGGTTGGGCATACATGGGACAGTCTTCCATTCTGCCAACCCGTGCAAGGGCCTCTGGTCCTCAACAGGGTATTTCAGGCTACCGCCTAAGATGAAGGTGCTTTCCCAGTTCTGCGTGTCTCACGCTAATGTGTTTAAACTCTTCTGTAGCCTATGAGGGGAAGAAGGTGGGTCATTATCAGAAATACCCAGAAAAACACAAATAGATGCATGGTTTGTTTTGTGTTTTCTTCTTTTGAGTCTGGTAGTTGGTTTGTAGGTAGTTATTTTATCTGTCATGATTTTTTATTTATATATAAGTTCTTGTATTGTTTTGTATGTAAAAAGTATTACTACTCTAAGAAGAAATGAAGAACATAGTAAGGTGTCTAGGGAGGTTGTCTGGAGCTCACCTATTTGTGTATATGTAAGGGTTGCTATATGAACAGTGATGTAAACATGACCCACTTTAGCAGTTTCTCAGAACCACAACGCTGAAGGGGTGTGTTTGAGTGGTTTTTCTGAAAACAATTTGTAGTTCGTTACACATCTTAAAGAGCATCCACCATTGTGAGGGCCTGATTTTTAAATGACCTTAGGAGCCAGTAGGAGGCACAGTGATTAAGGTGCTGGACTCCCACAGGCTGACTATGGTTGGAGTCCCCGACCTGTTGGCTTGATTTCTCACTTTGTCTGTCTGTCTCTGTCTCTTTCTGGTGAGCACATGTGCCCTATAATGAATTGAAAAGTGATAATAATAGTAAATAGAATTAAATAAGTCTTTCAAAAATAGTAATAACAAATTAATTTAACTTGGTAAATGACCAAAACACTAGAACTGGACCTCGTCTGACTAGACATTGTGGCTGGAGCTATGGGTTTCTCCTGATACTCGCAGGTAGTGCAAGGGTCACGGAGGTTCTGTATCTATGGAAGCACCAGGGTTAGCCAGTGAAGTCGGGGTGGTGTGTTCTCATTTGGGGCCTCCAGTAGGTGGTGGAACACCACAAATTTGGGGAAGATCCTTTAATTCAAAAGTTGCCGTGTCTGATCTTTTCCTCAGCAAAGAGCCTTTTATTATTTGGCTCTTTGTAGAGTTATATTTTTAAACATCTATGCCTTGTTCCTAAAACAAGTTCTGTGCTACCTTCACCTTAAATCTGATCTCTAATTTTTACTGTGCGTGCTGGAGATGACCTTGAATTGCCATATTACTGGCTTGTTTGAAATATAATTAATACATTCAGAGCTTGAATTTGTCACTTCCTTTGACAGAGCCTGGCATGGAATAAAAGGTGGTGGTTATTTTTATTTCTCTTGTTATTTTTAAGTGTTTCTCAAAACCTCTAATACTATATACAACATTGAATATTCATTCTGGATCTTTAAGTGTAGTATCATAAAGATGTTATATACGGTACTAAAATTCAACTGAAAGCAATTCCATTACTTCAAATTGCCAGTTTTTAAAACATTGTACTATAAAACACTTAAGTCTTGGGTCCAGCAGATGGTATAATGGTTACGTTGCTGGACTCCCACGTAGTCGACTGCAGTTCGAATCCCGAACTCAGTGGCTTAAAACTCACAGTAGGCGTGTGTGCATGCATGTCCAAAATCCCAAGAGGAGAATGGAGGAGAAGGGATTGCAGCATGGCCCTGAGAGGTAATTTCTCACTTTCTGTCTCTCTAGAAAGCAAAAATCTCTCTCTCTTCTCTCTCTCTCAAAAAAAAAAAAGCACATATATCTTAAATATACAACTCAGTGGATTTTTAAATACACATGCACCCTGTAACTACCATCGTTCTCTTCATGAGAGAACATTTCCAGTATCCCAAAAATAGTCAAGAAGTTTTTTAAACTTAATTTTTGTTTTTGTTTTTAGATTTTTGCCATAGAGCACATGTGCTTATCAGAGAAAGATGGAGAGAGAGAGACAGGGAAAGTGAGAAATCACCCCTACAGGGAGGATGGCCATGCCACAATCCCTTCTCCCCCATTTTCTTCTCAGGATTTTGGGCACACACATGCCTGGCATGATTTTCAAGTCTCTGGGTCCAGGGCTTAAACCATGAAGTCAGCCATGTGGGAATCTAGTGCCTTAACCACCATGCCACCTGTTGACCCTAAACTTAATTTTTAATTGACATGTCGTTTTATTTGCTTGTTTGTTTAGTTTTTTTCCATAGGTCTCATGTACTTGTGGAAGAGAGACAAAGAGAAAGTGAGATATCACCCCCACCCCCACCCCAGGTGGATGGCACACCCCAATCCCTTCTTTTCCATTATCCTCTCAGGATTCGGGGCACACATGCATGCACATGTGCCTGGCTTGATTTTCAAGCTGCCAAGTCCAGGACTAGAAATGTGGTAGGCCATATGGGGACCCAGCACCTTCACCACATCCCTTTGGCCCTGTGACATGTTCTTTTTAATAAAATATAACATTTCATATTTTCTGTGGATCATTTGTTGTTAATAGAACTTTAATTTTTATGCTTGTCATTTGTATACCAAACTTTTTTTTTTTTTTGAGAGAGGTTTTTGCAATAGGGCAAGTGCACTCACCAGAGAGACAGAGACAGAAAGCAACAAATCACCCCACCCCACCCCAACCCTCGGGGAGATAGCCATGCCACAATCCCTTCTTCTCCATTCTCTTCTTGGGATTTTGGGCAGGCTTGCACACATGCTCGGCATAAGTTTGAAGCTGCCAGGTCTGGGACTTGATCCATGATCAACTGTGTGGGAGTCCAGCATCTTAACTACTACACCACCTGCTGGCCCCAAACTGTTTTTTAAATAGTGCAGATTTAAGAGGACAAAAAGAGAAGACAAGAGTCAACCAGTAAGTCGTGGTGGTTAAGGTCGATTAATCCCACATGGCCAACTGTGCAGTTTAAGTCCCAGACCCAGTGGCTCAAGAAACATGCCAGCATGTGTACATGCATGCCATAATTCCAAGAGCAGAATGGAGGAGAGGAGACTGTGGTGTGGCCAACCCCCCAAGGGGTCTTCTCGCTGTCCCTCATCTCTTACTCTCTCTCTTCAATAAGTGCACATGCCCTAAAGCAAAATTTAAATAAAAAAGAAAAGAGAGAGAAGTCTATGAGCAAGTGTGTCTTGAACATTTACTATATGTGCTTATTATTATTGTTAGGGAAACAAAGGTGTTTGAATTATTTAATTTTATTTATTATTATTATTATTATTTATTTTGTTATAGGACACATGTGCTCACCAGAGAGAGACAGAGAGAGAGGAAAAATAAGAAAGCAAGCTGCCAGGTCTGGGACTAGAACCATAGTCAGCCACCACACCACCTGCTGGCCTGGGAAATGAAATTTAAAACTAGTTTTACTGGGGCCAGCAGGTGGCATGTTGGTTAAGGTGCTGGACTCCCACATGGCCAACTGTGGTTTGAGTCCTGGACCCAGCAGCTTGAAACTCAAGCCAGGCATGTATGTGTATATGCCCAAAATCCTAAGAAGAGAAGGGAGGAAGAGGGATTGTGACATGGTCATCCCCCCTGGCGGTGGTGGTGGTGGGAGGGATCATTTCTCACTTTCTATCTCTCATTCTCTCTGTATCTCTGGTGAGCACTCACACCGTATAGCAAAAATTTATCTTAAAAAACAAAAACAAAAACAAAAAAAACACCAAGCAGATATTATGCACATGCCTGAAATTTCTGAGCGAATACAAAAGGGATTGCTGCATGGCCATCCCTCTTAGGGAGTGATTTCTCACTTTTCCTCTCTCTTTCTGTCTCTTGCAAACACACAT